ATTAATTTTAAAATATTAAAATTTAATTATAAATAATTATAATAAAAAAAATTGAATTAGATAAAAAAATTAAAAATTATTATATAATAATAATTGATATTTTTGTATAGGAGTCGATTATTAATTTAACTAAGAGACTTATTAAATACATAATGAAACTTATAAAATATTTTTATAAATTTTTTTTCCTAAATATTTTCGTAAATATTTTTTTAATACATCAAACTGATAGTGAAGGTCAACCACTAGGGGTGGGGAAGGATTGAGGTAGTTAGAAGTATGATGACTTAGGTTCAATCTTCATTGCGACTATCTTTCTAATCTTTCCTATCTTTAAAAAAGAAAATTGATAGTGAAGAGATTATAACCACTCGAAAGAGAGCTAATAACATGAAAATCATCGCATCCTCGTAAATAATAAGTTAAAATATTTTGATTATATTTTTTCATAGAGAGAGAGCTAATAATATGTGAAGTATATGTTTAAAAAATTGCATTGAAAATAATATAATACTAATATTATAAATTAAGTATATTTCCATCTCTTCTATAGTGATTTGACCTCTATGGAACATTTCCATCAAAGAAAGCCAATGACATAAAAAAAAACATCACAATTTCAAAATATCTTGAGACAGCGCAGGAACAATTTTTCATACATATGCACAACTCCGTAACCTTAGCTCCTCCGACGACGTTGAACGCCATTAGCTTAATATTGTTGCACTTTTTTTTTTAGTAAAAAATTCAGGTGAATTGGATCCCTGTTGTACTTAATGTTTAACACTCCAGTTTAATGCATTTCATTTACCTTAAGAAATAATTTAAAGTTTGGATAAAAAATAATTTTAGAATCAGTTTTATTCAAGCACTAAGATCAATTTAGTGATAAAAATTAAAATAACATATATAATTTTAAATTTAAATTTTATTATCGTTATTGTCATTTTGATAATTAAAAAATCAATTTAAGTTTTCCTTAATCGTGATTTTAATTGAGTGCAAAATATGAAACAGAACCATTGTTTCCTATATAAAAAAATGTGTGGTCTTTAAAAAAATAAGAGTTTTAGTTAAAAACTATTATTAAAATTGGTCTCAACTTAAAATTGAATTTCAATATATATTTAGAATGGG